CGAAGAAAACATTCTAAAATGAATTGTGGTGATAACTGCACAGATATTTTTAATATGTTTAAACAATGAATTGTATGTGAATCACATGTTAATAAGACATACACAGAAAACCCAACTCACTTTCGGTGCCAGAAAACCACCTGGAATACCACCTATCAGATGGACTGTATAGCACAGCATCCGCTCTTCCTCCTGCCGTTCCCGAGTTTCCAAGAGGAAGTGTCCACCCACCAAGTGAGCAGGCCTTTGGGGGAGAGGCTTCACAGCCACGTCCCCTCAGAGTTAATCCAGGTCATTGTATTTTAATGAAATAACAACCACAACTACAGCACCACAGGGGACGCGCTCCAGTCTCTTGAACCCACTATATTATCCCTTCTTTGACACACTGGCTCTTCGCTGGCCTAGGTCAGTGGGGTCTGCTAAAGGAGTTCACAGCTTCAACGTGTGCACCTCCACTGATGTCTTCGTCTCCAAAACCAGCAAGCATTTCTTTAAAACGGCAGCAAAGGTCCTCAAGGACCTGCTGGTATCAATAAACCCAGACTCACCCTTCCCTTCGCTGGGTGCCAGGCCTCTCTTCCTGCAGGCATACTCTAAGTCAGCCAGTAGTTGCTTCCGACCACAGACCAGACACCCACAAGGCTTCTTGTCTGGGCCCTACGAGGAAAAGCCCACTACTGCTGCTTCGGAGCATCTACATCTATCTCACAGAGCCGCTGGGGTAGTGGCAGAGGATGTAGAAGATAAACGGCTCCTTCCTCTCCCTTCCAGTTCCACCCCCTCCCGTGCACACCCACCCTCAGCTTCTATGGTTGGAAACCATCCGGAGGTTTTTCATCCCAGCATTTTTTTATTGTTTTTTTTTTTTTTTTAACCAGGATGTACTAAAATTAGATGGGAACAAAGGAAAGCCATTTAACATTAGAGGAGGAGCTAGGAGAAAAATGGGAGCTGGCAGCACCCACATTCTTGGCCCTTCAGCCTCAACCTACGACCCTTCC